CCTGTTGAAGAGTCCCTAGTTCACACAATAATGGTGACCCATCCAGGGCCTCTCTGGCAGCCCCTGACTGGAGCTTGCAGACACGGTCTCTTCCCTCAGTACATGTCCACTGGTTCCTTCCTCTACTCCCTCCCTCATCAGTGACCTTTAGAAATAGGTGGAGGGAACGAGGGAGGTCCAGCCCCACTGCCCATCCATACCACTTCCATTTGCTTTGGCTGGCTCACCAGAGCCCCAGGCAGCACTAGGGTTCTGTAGGGAAACGGAACCAACAGGGTGTGTGTGGTGCACGCATATGTGTGTGTGTGTGAGAGAAAAAGAGAGAGAGAGAGAGAGAGAGAGAGAGAGAGAGAGAGAGAGAGAGAGAGAGTTGTCTTGGCCCTGTTCCATCTGCAGGCTCTGGTATGGTCTGGATGTCTGTGACCTGCCCCCTCCTCCCTCCACCAAGTTCATATATTGAAATCTTAACCCCAAAGTGACAGTTTAAGTCTCAGGAAGCGGGGACTTTGGGAGGTGACCAGATTATAAGGGTTGAGCCCTCGTGAATGGAGTTGTGTCTTCAGAACAGAGGCCCCAGAAAGCAACCTTCCCACTCGTAAGCGGAATACCAGAAATTGCAGGAAATTTGGAAAATACAGCAGAAAGATAATACACAGCCCACCCCAAACTGCGCTTTGCTTGGACCCTAACAAACCCAGCCAAGGAACAGGGGTCAGAGGGTCTGGATTGTAGCTCTGTAAGAGGTGTTCAAACTGCTTTTTGCTGAAAGCATGAACTCCTTTCTCAGGCCCACAAATGAACTAAATGCAGGAAAAATCCTGGCATTTTGTATCTGTCTCTGTTCTAAGCCATCCTCTCTGCAGTCACTTTGTGATCACCTTGGATTCCAGGAAGACAGAACTGATGACATCTTTATGACAAGGGACTGAAACGTCCCGTAAGGAACAGTGGAGCCCTGCAGGACAGACCACCCTCCAAATGAGAACAATGACCCGTAATGAAGAGGCTGCATCCTGGAGCAGGAGCAGTCATCTCATGGGAACCAGACTGCCCCCCTCAAATGATGACAGTGATGACACCTTCTCTGGAACCCCTGGAACTGAGATAATGACCAACCCGACCACACCTGTGACTGGGACTGTTTAACTCTGCATACCTCACCTCTCTCCCCCAGCCCCCAGTTCTTTGTCTACTTAGACCTACAGCTCATGTCTGTACCCCAAAGACGGCTGAAGGTGCTGAGTGCTCACTCTGCCTGTCCCAAGCCCTGTAATAAACCTCCTTTCTCTGCCTTCGCCACGCCTCTTTATTTGGTGTTTAGGGGCGGGTGGCCGGACCTGGCATGTGAAACCCCAGGAGTTTGGGTCTTGGATCTTGACCCAACCTGGACCTGTGCTGGCTGCAGATGAGTCAGCGGGTTGTTGGATGGCAAGCGGACGAGAGCTTGGCTTCCAGGTGTTTCTGAGGTGGGGAGCTGTATCTTTTCTGTCTTCTTCTTTCAAGTTCTCCCCGAGGCAAAGGAGAGCCCCACCCTCCCAACTCAGGAGTCCACAGGGCTGTGCTTCCTTTCCATCCTCCTTGGCAGGGCTGAGGTTCCATGGTGGAAGCTGGAAACCTGCTTCCACCCTGACCGTGGCACCCTCGCCAGACCTCGCCTGCTGCTGATGGAGGGCAGTGGGTCCAACATCCCAAGTCGGGACTTTACCTGCCCTACAGACAGATTACAAGCTTCTGGTTTAATTTTTGGAATCCCCTCAGCACATGTGGGAGGATGGGATAGCAGGGCAGCGTTTTCCTGCCTGTCCCATCTGCTCAACCCTGTGGCTCCCCCACCCCAGCCAGTCCCGGGACGGGGGATGTCCACACTTAGCCACTGGTTTGGAGACAGAGTGGGAAAGGACATTCCCAATAGGACAGGTTAGGTGGGCAGCTTGGTGGCACCCAGTCATATGGAATAGCTGCTGTCCTATAGCAAAGGCAGCCTGGGACACTCTCTGGCAACACTGATCTGGAGTATTTTGTGTGTTTATAGCTCGCCCAACCCTCATGTTGAATGGACTCTGTGTCCTTCCGTGTGATCGGCTCAGATGTCAGCAAGTGGAGGCTGTCACGCCCCCCAAATACATATGTGAAAGAAGCCAAGGCAGGCAGCGTAGTCTGTGAGACAGCAGTGGGACATCTGGCTGTGGGACATCTTAACAGCAGACACTTCTCCCTACTTCTTTCCTTGCCCTCACTTCGGTCAGAGTTGCAATTGCAAGAGAGCCAGGAAGTGACTGGTTCAGATTTGCTGGGGTTTATGAGATCCAGTCTTTGGCACATACAGCAATCTTTGAATTCTTACAAAAGAATCCCGGGGAGAAAGACAACGGAAAACAGTAGGCACAGAAGGTCCTGAAGGCAGAGCGGGTCACAGGACCGTGCAGGGCTGGGCATAGGCCGATGCTCCCCTTCACAGGGGACACCTAGCTACATCTCTCTGTGTACAGGCCGGCAGGAGTGGAGGCAGCAAGTTTCCCGTCCCAGGTGGGAAGTGCAGAGCATGGTGGCTTGCCCGTCTCCTGATGTGCAGCTGGCACTGAACCCTGTCAACCAGGCAGGAAGTTCACTTGGAAATTCACAATTCATGTGGGTCAGCACTGGCCACCTCAGGGGTGTCTTGTTTAATGGGATGTGCTGACTGGGGATGAGGCCTCTCCTGATGACCTTGGATACAACCTTCAGCCTATCAACATGCCAGTTTCTCATGCCGGGTATTTCCCAAGGCTGGGGGCTGTGGTTACTCGTGCGCCTCCTCTGCTGTATCAAGAGCTCCTTTTGGGCACATCTCTCTTACCCCAGACCTCCACTCCAAGTGCTGCAGTAGATTCAGTCACACGTGTGGACAGGCTCTCACTGACCTGGGTGGACAGGCCTCTGTTCTGAGCTCACCGTAGCACAGCTGTTGGTGGGCTTCCTCCAGCCAGGGGGAGGACTTGTTGGCCCTGTAAGAGGTGACTCAGGCGAGGGGTAGAACTACCCACAGCGTGTACAGTTTTGAAGCACAGGCTGGTGAAGCAGTCTGTGGGGAGCCCACTGTGCACATGCTGGTTTCTGCAGCCCCACAATGGAAGCCAGGCTGGCCACATAAGCAGCGGCACCCACAGATTCTGCCAGGGTTTCTCTCCTCACCCACTCCTGCCATTTGTTGGTTCTGTTATTCCAGTATGTGATGTAGCCTAAAACCCGAGGAAGTGTGAAGTGCAGCAGAGTACCTGCGTAGGTATCTACATGTGAGTACAGTGCGACTGTGTGTGTGTAGGCATGCATTCGTGGACACGTGTATGTGTAACTGTCCATAGGTGCATCCTCTGTATACATGGCTTGTGCATCTACGCATGCAGCCCACCTGTGATCAAAAGTATTTGGAGAAAGTGCTGGGGGTGTGGCTCAAATGGTAGAGAACTTTCTTAGTAAGCACAAGCCTTGAGTTCAAAACCCAGTACTGCACCTTCCACCCGACCCACCAAAATCTGAAAAAAATGCATCTGTACTCAATGAGTACAGACGTTTTTCTTGTCATTATTCCTTCAACAATATAGAACTGTATGATTCATGCAGTGCTGTAAGTCAGCAAGAGAAGGCTTGCAGTACATGGAAGGAGGTGCAGAGGTTCTGTGCAAATGCCAGGCCATTTTATAGGAGGAACTTGAGTGATTGTGCATTTGGGTGTCCACGGGGGTCCTGGAACCTAGAGCCAGTCTTCTGGGGTACTGAGGGATGACTGAGTGCACATGTAAGCGTGTGTATGCTTAAGGTAAAATTTGGATGCAGTTTGAGAACGGGGAAAGGGGGCCAGCAGGTGTCAGAGGTAACTGAGCAGATAGAGGGTGTGTTGAAGATCTTTTACCAGTGAAGAGGGCAGGTGACAGACCTCTCCTGAAGAGTGACATGGTGGTGCCAATGTCTGGGCACCCAGAGTTGCCATCTGTATTGGCTCTACCACAATTAAAATGAAAAAAAAAATACAAGCAAACCCAAGAAGAGGTGTAGAATGGCAGGTCCCTATCGGTGCTGAGCTGCAGTCAGGAAGAGATGCAAAACTTCACAGGCCAAAAATGAACTATTCAAGGGGCAGAACATTCTGGAATTTGTCAAGAGGCAACACATGCTCCAAGGAAAGTGACCCGACTCAGGAAAGAAAGGTCCATGAAGCTCGGGTTACGGAAGTGGTTTTAAGATCAGCTGGTTAGAGTGGTACTCTCGGAGCTCAGGTGTCTCCAGAGGGGAGCAGAGACCCCCACAGCTCAGGGTCTCTTTTGTGTTTCGTAAATTGAGAGTTCAGGACACACTAGGCGGGGGCCTGAGCTGGGCTGAGCATGAGGCCTTGTCTCCATCTTGACAGGTAGGGGTTGGGCCTCCCCAAGTGCGTACAGTGCCACACAGGATGTCCCCAATGCCTGTCCCCAAAATAGGCAAGGAGGAAAGGGACCTCTCTCCTCCCCTGTGATAGACTCCAACGTTAAACCCCTACCTTCCTGTCAGCAAGCACCCAGCCTTTGCAGTCCCTGGGCTCAGGTGTGCGTCTATCTCCCACATCACTTCCACACATGGTCCACACGGTCTCCCCAGCCTGCCTCACGCCCACATCTGCACACGGCACCGATGTCCCCTCAGCTTACAAACACAGGACATGTGCACGTCCCCGCTCTCTCGCACTGTTCTGACTTTTAATGTGGAATTTACATGGACGTACGCATCACATCACACGAGTCAATTGTTCTGAGATACATCTGTGGGAAAAGCACAGTGTCCTTTGTCCCCATGTGAGGACTCATCAGAAGCAGCCCTGGGATAACAGCTCTATCAAAGAAAAAGTGCAGTACCCGTTTCTGTAGAAGAATATATTATTTAAAAGACAGTTTAAAAATAAAGATTCTGTACATCATGAGTTCCTTTTTTTGTATCAGTGAACAAAACAGTTCTTAGAAAACAAGGTCTGGTGGTGCCGGGTGTCTGGTGCGAGAGCCACTGTTCCGTGCGCGGAGGGTCCTTGGAGGCGCCACCAGCCCAGTGCAGACGCAGCCCACGGCTTTGCTGCTTCTTCAGGCACGTCTACACAAAAGGGAAAAGGATGACTAGCTTGTCTTTGTGGGGTCTGGGAATGAGCAGGAACATCAGAAACCCCACAGGGCTACGCACAGACCACTTTAGAAGAATGAGGCCATTGGGCGCCCTGTTGAACACATATAGGCAAAATAAGACCCCTCTTCTGAGCCATTCGAGAATATGACCAATTTAAAGATCAAAGGCCACTGTTTACTGAGCACTTGGTGTGTGTGGACTGACTCTCTGCTCGCTTAATTGCTAAAAACACAACGATGGTGCCTGGCTTCTGGTTTAGAGAATTAGTGCTCTGAGGCCCATGATGGTGGAGGCCATGGAAGTGGAGGCACAGGCAGAGCCCCTGGCCTGACATTAGCAAAGCCTGGACTAAAATAAGTTGTAGGAGCCACGGCCTTCGCTGTTCAGCCTGTAAAACCAAATCCAGTCTGCCCAGCCATGTGCTCTGAATGCTTTACAGACTGCGCGGTTCTCCCACGATCTGAGACACAGGCTCGGGGGGACCTCGTTCCCAACTGGCCACGTGGGCCACACTGCCCTCCACGTGGACAAATAGATGGTTGCGTCCAAGGGCTGGAGGCCACGTGTAGAGCCATGTAAGGCAGTGCTTTTGAAAGCAGGAGCACTTCAAGTGCTCTTTAAAGAATGCTTGCTCTTTAAGTGGTGGGCATCCTGACTGCTGACCCATCGCCTACGAACTGGAACACCTGCCCCTTCTATCAGACCTAATTCTGTAATTACACGCGGGGAACTAACATTCTACTTATTTAAAAACCTTCTGCAGGTTGGGGTGGGGTGTGGTGGGGTTTGAACACACCCGCAAAGCTTCATTGGAACTGAACTCCCACTTCGAGGTGTTAGGAAGGAGGTGGTTAGAGGTGAGGCTTGAGAGCGATTAACAGTAGACAGATCGTGAGGGTGGAGCCCAGGCCACAGTTACTGCTGGCTTTATAAGAAGAAGGGAGGGGACCAGTCCTCACTCCTCCCGGTCCCTCCCCACTTTACCCTAAATTACCGTATGCACGGGGACATCAATTTGGAGAAGCATGACCTTCACTTTTTTTTGCATCTCTGCTCTGTTCTCTGGACTTTTCGGTGCACTCCGTTTTCTTCTGTAACTAGGACAGCGAGCAGAGAGGGGCAGAGTCAGCTCCAGGGAGGCAGTGGGCATGGCCATTTGTCTCTGAGGTGGCCTCAGCTGCCTGCAGATGTTCACACGTGAAGGACTGTCGCCTGCCACCCCAGCGCCAGGACACACCCATACCATCATTCCCAGACAGCTCTGGTGCATGTCGTCGGCCCCATTACCCACGGTGATGTTGGCACCTGGGTGAGAGCTCAGGCTTAGTCCCCGCACCTTTTGTGAACCTACTTCCTTTAGGGACAGAAGACAACGAGGGGAATCCTGGTGTTCCCACTGGGCAGCAGGGGTGAGGACTTGGAGACTCAAGTCCCTCACAGCAATGGCTCAGGGGATGGTCCTGGAGAGTGGAAGAACCTCTTTTGCCCTCCTGGGGGGGTCTGGGCCGGGGAAGCTCTCTTGCTCATGTCTGTTGTCCTGTATATTTTCTTAGCCAACTTTCTGGTGGGAGAATCCACTAGGGACACTGGCACTGCCAGTGTGGATTTTCAATTGACTTGTAAGCATTTTCTGAGTACCTACGATGTACCTGGTGCTGCTGTACATGGTGTGGTGGGCGTGGCGGGTGTGTGAGGGAGATAAGACCCCATCAGTGCACGCCTGGAAAACAGTACTCAGAGGGCCCCCAAGGGGAAAAGAGGGTATGGGCACACAGTCACTGGGGAGTGTGGCCTGAGGGTGACTGGGCACAGCAGCCAAGGTCAAGGCAAGGCCTGGGAGGGAGCGTGAGGAGCAGGGAGACTGTTGTAGGTGCACTGGGCTCCTGGCAGGAGGCTGGGTGGAGGGAGACCACATTGGGCAGAGGACCTTCTAAGTCCCAAGTGGCAGTGATCCCTGAAGTAGAGAGATGTGGACACAGGTTCTGAGGTAGCCAACACAGCTCATGGGGATTTGTGAACACATCATAGTGGCTCTGACCCTGTTATACTGAGCCAGTGACACTAACCCTCTCCTGAAATCCAGCATCAATTCAGTAGGTCCCTAATACCTGACTGTCTCCCTGTCAGAGAGTGGCACTGGGCTGCCTGGAGTATGTGCTCTGTGTCTGGAAGTCTGAACTTGGGTGCTTTTGTCCCTGTGTCCCTTTCCACCCAGTCCTCACTCAGGAGGAGGAGAGGGACCTATGTGGCTGCACAGCCAGAAGCAGACTGAGTGCAGAGCACTGCAGTCACTGTCCTGTCCTGCAACCGGCCAGGGTGGCTTTGGTGTCACAGAGCAGAGCATGTGGCTCCCTTGCCTTACTGAGCTGGGCTTCTGGGGAGGGGAAATGCATGCCCACCCTCTGTGCTGCCTGTGGGAATGTCCAAGACTCTGGGATCAGGGTTTGAAGGAAGCCTGCTTGCATCCTTAACACTGCCTTTACCCTTTACTCTTTTGAGGCTGTCTTGCTATGTAGCCCAGTTGGGCCTTGAACTTGTGATCCTCCTACCTCACTCCTGAGTCCTGGGGTCACAGGCCTGTGCATGGGGGCTGCCTTTACCTCTTTCATGGCATCGTCTAGCTGCTTCAGCTCCTCATAGCGATCTCTTGACTCCCAGAGCGGCTGCAGCATGAGTTCCTCAACTGTGGGGAAAAGCTGTGGAGACAGGGGGCCTGTGTGTCAGCCATTGTGCCTAGACACCGGAGAAGAGGCCGTCAGGTCCTCCGGGTCCCCGTGAACCCCCGAGACTTTACTCTCTCTCTCTCAGGCAGTCACCTCAGAGGCCTCCCAGGTCAGGGCCTTCGGGTAAATCCAAGATGATGGAGGTGCAAAGCTACTTGGTCAGTGCCAAGGCAGGAGACCCTTGTGCAGCCCCACCCATTTCCAGTCTCTAGGGCTGCGTCCCATTCTTGTTACTGCACACACAGCCTCGCAAAGTACACTCCCTTCTTCCTGTCCCCTACCACAGGGGACAAGGGTGGCACAGGCCAGGAGGTCCTTATGCAGATGCAGGAGACAGGGGTCTCCCGACTGGTAGTCCTGAGATGGGAAGTGTTGGGGGCTCTGAATTCCCCAGAGAAGGATCTGCAGGCGGTAGGGATGGGGTGACCGGGGTGGTGAGAGATGAGTCTGCTTTGGATGTGGAAGGACTGGAGGTGGGGATCTGAGGCAGGTGGCCCCTGGCAGCTCTGGGGCTCCCGGGTGGGAGACTGAGTGGGAAGGTGATGAGGAAGGGCAAGACTGCAGAGGCAGCTGGGGGAGACTTGGACTTGGGCCCAGTGTTCCCCAACCTGAGGGCACTGATACTAGCTGTTCCTTTAGGGGCGAGGCCAGGGCGGGCCAGGAGAACCAACAGTCAGTACTGCCAGCTCTGTCCTGAGGCCAGCACCGATGGGTGGGGCACCGTGGGTACCCAAGGTCCAGCAGGCAGACAGACAGCTCTGTGCAAAGAGCTGGAGGCGGTGGCTATGGACACAATGGGGAGAAAATGACTACTGGGCAGCTGTCACCATGGCAGCAGATTAGGCTTTTGAGGGCTTGTGTGTCCATGGGTGTTCATGTATGAGCACGTGTGTACAGGGCATGCATACACGTTACTCTAAAGATTCTTCATCAGCACATGGTGTCAAGCACTTACCTTGGTCACCATTTCAAACATTGGGATCAGGACAAACTTGATGAACCCAATTTGGGCTGTGGCTTTGGTCACTTTGTCTCTGTCCATGAATGGGGCCACAGGGAGGCCTTCTGACTTCTCACGGTCGCTCTGCACGGGACACAGAGGACAGTGATACAGATGGAACACCCGCAGAGAGAGGAAAAAGGAGCTGACCAGCCCGTGACCTGCCAAACCTTGTCCCCGCCGTGGATCAGTCAGAACAAGGACCGGGGGCGGGAACATGGGACAGAGCGGCATTTGTCAGGGCATCACAGGGCTGCTTGTCCTTGGTAGTCTGATGTCTCCAGCTCCCTGTGGCTATTCTGTGAGCTGATCTGCTGGGCCTCCCCATCCAGGGGGCTCCCACCCACCTCCACAGTTCTCCACTTTCTGGCAACACACTCGCTCAGTCTGCCTCTGGAAGTGGCCCCAGAGCTGGTGATGAGTGGCTTTTCTAGGTTGTCACTGTCTTTCATGCCTGTTACACCCTATTTCCGTGCTGCTGTTGGGAATGTGTCCTTGAGGCTAGAGGAGGTGGGGGCTGACTAAGCTGGCCCACCCTAGCTTACTCTCTCAAACGCGAGCCCTCTATCAACGGGCCCACAAGGAACGACTGGAGTTGATGGCCTTAGGAGTCTCTTACCTGCATAAAATATTCTTCTAACAGACAGTCCACCCAAGGTTCTGCGACCTCCATGGGGCGGACCTCATTAGAGATGTCGCAGCATTTTATCAAAATCATCTTCAGCTGAAAGGAGACGTTGGGACAGTCAGGCAGCGGGCAACACCACAATAACCACCGCTGCTGTGTGAGCCAGAGCAGATCTGCTGTCATAGGCGGGAAGAGGGGTGAGGTGATGGTGGTGCTGGGCCAGCACTAGCACCAGCAGCTTTGCTGTCGTGAGGGATACCATCCCTCCCTCCACAGTGCCACCCCTGCACTCTGTAGTCTGTCGGGATCGTGAATCTCACCTGGGGAGCACCATCAAATCCCCAAAGCATCAGATGTATGTTTTGTGAAACCAATGATAAATTGTCAAGCTCTTAAGAATTTCTTAGCCTGGTGTGTGGTGTACACACCAGCTATTTGAGAGGTAGCTGGGAGGATCTTGAGTTCAAGGCTAGCCTAGGTAAAGTTAGTGAGACCCTGTCTTAAAAAGTAGAACACAAACAAAAGAGCTAGGGGTGAGGCTCAAGTGGTAGAGAGCTTACCTAGCAAATGAGAGGCCCTGAGTTCAATTTCAAGTACAGGAAAAAAAAATTCTTGGTTGTTGGAGATATAAGAAAAACAGATAGAGAAGGCATCATTGGGAGGCCCGGGTCTGAAAGGTGCTAAGAGACACCTGTTGAGCTGGAGGGTGTGGGGACCCCAGAAAGAGAGTATGAAGAAGGAAACATGCTCTAGAAGCATCTACAAGTGTGGAGGGCACTGGTCCTGGCATCCCTACCACCATGTTCAGCAGGCAGAACCCCAGTTCTCTGCTCCCAAACACAGTGCCCTTCCTGTGCTGGCTGGGTCTCTGTGTCCAGGACCCCTGTTCTGCCATGTCCCCTCCTGCTCTGGCATCTAAGCCTGTGCCTTCAAGGTCTTGCTCAGGTCCCCCTCGCTCTGGTCTTCTTGGCTACAGATGACGACCCATAGTGCTGTCCTGTACTCAGCAGCATCTTATGGGTGCTGTACCCAGTGGGTGCGTCTTGTCTTCCCAGGAGCCTGGGCTCTTGCTCCTTGGCAGGCCTGGACCACTGAGGGTGCTCTAAGAGACAGGTCACCCAAAGGATGCAGCCAAAGTGCTTTCCCTGAATGAGCCAGGAAATCGCCTCTGCGTGGCTCCAGTGATTGTCACTTGCCATTGCCAACTTACTGGATGAAAGTGGTGGCTACTGTCCAGGTTCTGAAAGGGTCAGGCAGGGAAGTCAGCACCTGCAGCATGTCACCTTGAGCCATGGGCCCACCTGCCTGGTTTGTGGCTCCTCCAGGCAGGTCATGGCCACATTCAGCCCTCATCTGCTCAGCAGGGCAGATCTCTGCCCTCCTCGCCGGCTGGGCCTCGGAGGACTGTGTGGCTCCTTTCCAAGTGGCCTGATTCCTGGGCAGGGAATCTAGGTCTTTCTTTTCCCCTCTGTGAGGAGGCTTGCAGGCCTTGTGGAGGAACTGCTCCTAGACCAGTGCCCGGCTAGGGCACTGCAGTCTCTGCAGGGGCTGGAATTCAGGTGAGGTCCTGTGCTCCTGGTTTGTCAGCTTCCTGGGCCCAGGAGCCTCCCTCCATGGAGACCTCCTGGAGGCTTGGACTTGGGACTTCCTGCTCCCAGTCCTTTCTCTCCTCCCCCAGCCTCATGTCCACACAAGGCAAGAGCCTTTGGGCCTCCCTGCGAAAGAAGCCCTGGCAGCACTGTTGGTCACCTGGCCTGGCACTGCCCTGTTAGGAGAAATGGAACTGGGGCATTGTCTTGTCCTGCCTCCTGCCGGGGTGTGGTGGATGAGTATGGCCGGTGCTGCTTATGGGTTGTTGTGTTGTCCAAACTGGCCACCTCTACACCTGAAGTGGTGCTCTGGCTTCCTGCCCAGCTCCCAGTCCTTCAGCCGACCTTTCCTCACATCTCAGAGGGAAATAAAGGCTCCTGAGGGCCGCAGCCTGCTGTCTTCCCTCACCCAGCTCTGACTCATGTCCATCCTCATTCTTCTTGTCCTTCCTCACAAGACAAGGCCACCTAATAGTCTATGGCTTTTTTTAGGAGCAAGGAACTTACCACATGACTGTGCAATGGTCCCCCTTGCCCTTGGTTTTGCTTTCTATGATTTCAGTTACCTGTTGTCAACTGTGGCCTGAATATATTAAGTGGAAAATTCCAGAAATGAACAATATGTACTTTTTTATGGGTGCTATTCTGCGTAGTGTGATAAACTCTCATGCCATTCCACTCCATCCCAGCCAGGATGAGTTTTCCCTCTGTCCAGTGTGTCCACACAGTACACGCTACCTGCCCGCTAGCTACGCTGTGGCTCTCAGTCGTCAGAGCCACTATGGCAGTAGCAGAGCTTACGTTCAAGTGACCTTGTTTCATTAAATAAGGGCTCCAGCACACGAGAGTAGCTAGTGATGCTGGTGATTTTATTAGTATATTGTCATAACTGTTTTACTTTATTACTAATTATTACTGTTAGGCTCTCTCCCTGGTTAATTTATAGATTAAACTTTATCATAAGAATGAGTGTAGAGGAGAAAACATGGTGTACAGAGGGGTTGGAGCTCCCCACGGTTGCATCCACTGAAGGTCCTGGAACGTATCCCTGAGGACGTGGATGACGGCGTCTCTCTCTGCTTTCCATCTCAGTGAAGGGACGCTCTGGGGAGACACACGCACCCTTCCATTGCGCATGTGTGAACCAGGAGGTCTTTTCTTCCTGTGCATCTCTGTGTGGGAACTGTAATTCAGCCTTCCAGAGCAACGGCCCCAAAGGCTCAAGGGAGCGGGAAGCAAGTTCAACTCGATCTGGAGGAGCGCCCCATCACTCCACTCTGGCAGCACGAGTACTGACACTGGGTTTATACAGACAATTGACTTTAAGAGTGAGAATGCCAGAGAGCATACTTAACACTTAAACAGGGCACTTTCTCTTTGAATGTCGCCCTGGTTGGCCTTGAACTCACCATCTTCCAGCCCCAGCCTCCTGAGTGCTGGGATTACAGACATGCACCACCACACCCGGCACATTTTGCTCTTTCAAAAGGGCAGACTGTGGGCAAACTGAGGCCCACTTCTCATGGGGGAATGTGACTCTTAGCTATGTGGGGGGATCTTCAAGGGGTGGCTCTGCCAACGGCTAGTCTGGTAGGAGTCGTGCCCCCAAAGGCCAGACTTAGGGCACCTCATTCCAAGGCCAGGCTAGAAACTTTGGCTTCTGGTTTTTCCAGTCTGAGCTGGGAGGGATGAGCTCCACAGCACCCCCCACAGAGGCAGAACAAGACTTACCAGGGTCATGTGCTCCTGGTTGCTGTAGTCAAAACTCTCCATTTTCTCTTTGAAAGAGTCCAGGATCTCTGCATGTCTTGCCATGTCAGTGGCCAGGATCAAAGTGATCATTCCCTGAATGGTGAGACAGCAGTGCGTTAACACGGGCAGGACCTCGTGGTCTCCCCATGGTGCCCACGGCGGGTGCTGAGCCTTGGGTCTGCAGTCCTCATTTGTGTGACTGTGACCGCGGCCACGCCCTCAGGCTGGGGACAGCTGACTGCCATCACAGGCTCACAGATCAACTGAAGGTGCCTGTGTTCACTTGTGAACGCCAGAGATTTTGCCCAGGTGTCTCCTGGCTTTCGTCATCTAGGTTTATGGTTTGCTCCTTCCAGATCTTGGTTGGTGGACATCAGAAACTGATTTTCCAAGAGTATTTTTTTCTTATTGTGGAATGTGTATGTGATTACATGTGTACACATGGTTTAGGAATTATTAAAGTCAGAAAATACTTAATAACATCTCACTAACAACTCTGCAAGTCAGGATGAAATGCTCTTTAAAACATATAAATAGTTCATTAGTTGCTATGGTTTGAATGTGGTTAGTTCCCCCAAAACTCATGTTGAGATCTGGTCCCTAAAGTGATCATTTTGGGAGGCAGCAGGACCTTTAAGGAGGGACCTTTAATCCCTCATGAAGGGGCTTCTTCTCCGGAGTGGAGTGAGTGAGCTAGCTCACTCTCCTGTCTTTCAGCTTTCTGTCATTCTACAATGCAGCTTGTGGGCGCCCATGTTCTTGCACTTCCCAGCCTCTAGAATGTGAATAAAGACAAACTTCTCTTTATAAATTACTCAGTCTGTGGTATCTTGCTATAGCAATGGAAAATTGACTAAGACAATGCGTACTTTGTTAACCAAATGATTGGTTTAGGAAAAGTAGCACAGTTAAAAGCTAAGAATATCCCTTTCTACCCATCTTCCCATTCCTTCCTCTATCCTGAATGCATCTATCATCCACCCATCTACCTTTCCTTCCTCCCTCCCTCCCTGCTTTCCTTCCACCTGTCCGTCCATCCATCCATCTACCTACCCTACATTTATAGACCATCTCTATGCCAGGTATGGTGCTGTACTTTTACAAGAAAATAAAACCACCAGCATCAAATGCAAAAAACAAGTAAGTCTGCAAAAAGAATCTCCAGTGTGTATTTTGGGGACATCACTTGCACTTTGAATTATGCAATTTCTTTTTCTCTAATGACTTAATTCTGTTAGTAATGAAGGAATTAATCAGTTATCTCTCAAAATCTTCAATGACCAAATACTTTTTAAAAAATTGAGACAACTGATTTTTACCTCCAGAGGAAAGTCTTAAAGCCAGTGCGGTTTTGAAGCAGGACAACCCTTTTAAGTCTTCTGGTAGCCAGTATGAGGAAGATCCTGTCTATAGGGTGGTTCCCCCTCCACTCAGCCAAACCTCCTTTTCTTTTGGGGTGCTGAGTGACATGCCCCACTGGGGCACGTCACACACTAAGGGGTGCTCCAAGCTGTTACCAGAGGAGCTCCTCACTGGGGGCTACAGCTCTGTGGGGGCAGGTCCTAGTGGAAGAGGGCAGAAGCCATAGATGGGGGATAATTATACGGGAATCAGCAATTCTGTAAGGATTGTAATTAAGGACTGCAGTTGACTTTGAAGTCCCTAGGGTGCAGGTAAGTGGGCGAACACTAGACCAGCCTGTTGTTCTTTGTTAAGGTAAGCTTATGGGTTCTCCAGGACAGAGAGAGAATGCCAGCACTGGGCTCTAGAAGGTCAGCTCAGCTGTGTGGGGCAGGAAGTCATCTGAGACACAGAAAGGGCCTGTTCCCCTGAGGACCACAGTAGGGTGATCTGCAGAGAGACTGGAGGTGCTACCTAATGAGTGCCCTGGGCAGCCGCTCAGCTGCACATGGCACACTGGGCATGCCACAGGAATGTGTTCCCTCACAGTTCTGGGGGCTGGAAGTTCAAGGTCAGGGTGTCAGCCTGGCCCTGCTCCAATGGCTCTAGGAAAGGGGCCCTCCTTGCTCTTTCCTTAGCTTGTGTCTACATCAATCTCTACCTGTGTTGTCACATGTCCTTCCCTGTGTCTATCACTTCTCCTCTTCTGCCCCTTAGAAGAACACTTGTCACTGGGCAATCCACAGTGACAAAGACCCTTTCCCCAAATAGTCACATGTTCTAGGGATCAGCTACCATTGAGCCCATTTTAGATCTGCAGGGTCCCCGTGAGAGCTTCCCCTGCCTGCAAACATCAGGGGTGGAGACCAAGTTCTGGCCCAGGAAGTGGGGGGGGGGCACTGGGCAGGATAATCTTCTTGTGCAGGTGATGGTGGGGCTGACCAGACCTGGGTGGCAGGTGACAGCTGCTGGGCTATGGGGCAGTGGTCAGCTCTACCAGGTTGAAGCAGCAGACGTACTTGTCCAGGGCTCGTACCCCCTCAGGCAAGTTACCCAGCTTCTTGAAGCTGGCTGCAAAATGGACACAGGGCTCATCTTAAAGGGGGCCCATCAGGGTTGTTTTGTTTTGGGGGCTGCAACATGAAGGCCAATGGAATGTCAGGTGTGCACAGCAAGGGGACCCTATTTTTTTATTTTTGTTTTTTTTAGTGGTTTTTTTTTGGTGGGGGGAGGGTTGAACCAAGGGTCTTGGGCTCACTATGCAAGTGTCACTCAAGCCACGTTCCCGGGCCTTTTGCTTTAGATATTAGGGTCTCGTGCTTGTGCCTAAGCCAGCCTCAGGTCATGGTATTCCTACCTCTATCTCCTGTGTAGCTGGGATTATAGGCACGAACCACCATGCTAGTTTGTTTGCTGAGATGGGGATCTCTCTATCTTTTCCTGGGTTGGCCTTCAACTGAGATATTTCTGATCTCTACCTCCCGAGTAGCTGGGATTACAGGCACGAGCCAAGGGACCCCCTTTTCTTGGGGTTCCACTCTGGACCATGGAGGAGGCCAGGAAAGGGGGGCAGATTCTAGGGTCCCTGGTGACACTGCTGTGACCAGGAGTCTCTGGGGCCTCCAGCTACTAGAAAGTGGGGCTCTGCATGGACCCCACACACTTCCTCCACGATGGTGGAGGCCCTCACCCCACACACCTGCCGGATCTGCTTGAAGCTCTCAGATGACACGTTGGAGAAGATGTTGCACTCGGGCTGTGCCAGGATCTGGAAGGCCACGGCACAGTGGTGGTTCTCAAGGGGAGAGATGTCATTGTAACGCACAGCCAGCTCTGTGCGGGCATTGATCTGGTACCTGGAATGAGGGAGGGCAGGGAGGCTCAGGCACCCGCAGAGCCCAAAGGATGTGCCATGGGGCTGGTGACCAGATGCTGTGAGGAACTACTGGCTGCCAGACTCACTGCCCCCTAACTGGATACCCCATGTTTTCAGTCTACCCAGATAGGTCCCATCTGTGGCCTCAGCCCTCTCCCTGGGGTGGTGGCCTGAAGGTATCCTGGCTTCTGCAAAAATTGTCAAGTGCAAAGACATGTTTGGGACAGGAAACAGTATTTTTGTTTTTTGGTCTTCTCACTATGTGATCCAGGACGTCCTCAAACTCATGATCCTCTTGCCTCAAGTCTCCTGAGTGCCCAGCTAAGGCATAGGAAGGTGGAGGCCTCTTTGCTGATCTGTGCTGGCCAGCTGTGGTGAGTGTGAAATGTGCATTAAAGGAACAGGTGGGTGCCTGGGACGGCCTCCTCTGGGGATTCAGTGTTCTGACGAACGTGGCCTGGCTTTCAGGAACACGTGATATCACTGCAGAGATTCATTAGAAAGGACAGATGCATGGCTGAACGCAAACCCACGCCACACGGCTGGGCTGTCAGTTCTACAGGACTTGTCCTCTGGGTCCCATGGCCCTAGCCTCACTGCCTGCTCTTCCCCAGCCCATCTCTCCTCACTCCGGCCCTTGTCCTTGTCCTCTGCCTGTTCCTCTGGAACAAAGCAGGCTGGGGAGGCAACAGGAGGGGCAAGCTGCAGAGAAGAGCGTGCGGGGATCAGAGGGCCTGGCGCTGCCAGGGCTTTGCTGCGCCTGCCTGGAGCCAGGATGGCAAGGGGTATGGCTGCCTGTGGGGCTTGATGGCATTGAGGGGCTCCAGGGTCTCTCCAGGTCCTCGACAAAGGATGATGCTTGTGAGGCTGAGGCCTCTGCTGACAGCTCCAACGGGGAGGTCCCCCCTCACAGAAGGGGCACTTTTAAAAGGCAAGGTGAGAAAGAGCTCAAGTACGTACGTGTTGTTGTATCCTGGATGGTCCAGGTCGTGGCAGATGGCCGCAGTCATCAGGACCAAGACGTCCATTTGGGAGAGTTTCTCCTGGAAGGGGGCACAAAGCTTAGGTTGCCTCCCCACTGGGAGGCTGGGAGACAGCAATAGGGCAGACACGGCCCCTCCAGCTCCACAAGCCCCACGGGCTCAGGGAGAGGAGGACCAGGCTTCCTGGGAGGGGTGGGGTGGGGAGGTTGGGACACGCTGCCCATTTAACCCTGGCAGTGGCCTCACTTGCCATGGTAGTAGGGAAATGGTGGCTGAGCCAGGAGGATGGGGGGGAGGGGGCCACAGGACCCACCTGCAGCCCACAGAGCCAGACCATGCTGTACATCATCTGTGCCACGCAGAAGCAGTGCCGGAAGTTGTGGAACGGGTTGTCCCGGTAATTGTCGTGCACGCAGAGCTGTGGGGGGAAGGCGGGAGCTGCCCTGTGACCCTGCCATCTTCCCCGCACAGCCCAGAAGGGGGTTCGGATGCTCTGTGCCAGATCCTCACCCCAACCCCACGTTGCAGATGCGCCTGCATTCACCTTGGGCATGGAGGACATCACACAGCAACTGCGGGCATGGACTGGACACATTAGGACAGGAAGCTGGGAATGGGGCAGGGGACGCTACCTAAGGGGCTCTAGGTCCCCATCACTTTGGAATGGTTAACAGGCTTTCAGTGCTTGGATCTGAGCGATAGTCTACTTTTTAAAAGCAGTCTACTGCTAGACACATCCTTATATACATGCACGCACACGCACGCACGCATATACACACATGTGCGCACGCACACGTACACACACAAGCCCACGTGCTCACACCTATGCACACACCACTCACCAGGCCCCCACACTCTCTGCCTTAGCACGCGCCCTTCATTGCCCCTCCCTGATGTACTATTTTCTTGCTCCTGAGTAGGACGGGAGGATGGAGGGGCTGGTGTCCTTGCAGAACCTCACAGGACTGATGCCTCCCTCTGTGGGAAGTCCAATGCCATTGGGAGGGGCCAAGGTCTACTCCCTCCAGTGACCGGAGGAAAGTGGCAGCACAAGTGTGGGCTCGGCACTTACCAGCCACCGCCGGAGTGTGATGGCGTTGATGCTGAAGTCTCTGACCAGGCCTAGGTCATGGTACATGTGCTCCAAACAGCTCAGCATCTGTGGACACAGGGCCAGGTGGTCAGCGGTGGGGAGGGAAACGGGCTGCCCCTTCTGCCCCCCGCACTGTGCTGGGAACTGCCACCAGGCAGCCGGTCCCAGGGAGAGTGAGCTCTGACCTTCTGGCCATGGAGCCTGACCAGTGGTGCACGGGAGAGGATCACTCAGACGGCGTGGGGCTCTGAGAGAGCAGTGGGAGGGACGGAGAGAGAGGCAGGCATCCTGGAAATAGAGGTGCCAGTTCAGAAGCTCATGAAACTTCCACACAATCGAAAGTGGCAATGGACAGGGTGACCCTAGTTCCACATGACCACACCAAGATGATTTTATTAATTTCAACACACAAAAAAATCCCAGCAGATCAACAGCACAGCTTAAGCTCCTAGGACAATTTCATCTGACGCACACCTGACAGGCGCCTCACCCAGGCGAGGGGCCTTCGTTGGGCTGAGGGTCTTGATCGAAGGGGCCTTGAGGGTTTACATCCAGAAAATGCTGAGTTACTCCCCTCTGGAGTCTGTACCAGAGACACTTCCTAACATAAGTGCCTGGAGGGCGAGCCTCTCCCTGGGCAGGAAACCCCCGATCCGTATGTCAGGGAACTCGCTGTCCAGTCTACTCTGTGCAGGGTGATTAATCCTGCTGTCACCACTGAGATCTGTGTCAGTCAGCTGTTCATCGCTGTCACCAAAATACCTGAGAGAAAAATTTAATTTGCTTTGGCTCATGGCGTCAGAGGGGTTCAGTCCGTGGTATGCTGGTTCCGTTTCTGGGTCTGGGGTGAGGCAGAACATCATGGCGTAAAGACATGGAGTGAAGCGAGAAACAGGCAGAGAGGTGCCTGGGACAAGATACAGCTCCCAAGATCTGCTCCCAGAGACCTACTTCCTCCAGACAGACCCACCTCCTATCGCTTCCAGAACCTCCCCAAACAGGGCTACCAGCTGGGGACCACGCCTCTGTGTAGGACACTTCACATCTAAAGCATGACAACATATATGTAAACACCGTCCTGAGCGCTGGCACCAATTAAGCCAGGGAGGAAGAGCAGAAGTGGCTTGAACTCATAATAGCCTGCCCAAAGTGGGCCCTGCTTTCTGGGAGAAGCAGGTCTTAGATGCGGACCCCAGGAAGACATCCTTTGGGGGCAAGTGGCATGACTCTTGCCCAGAGCACCCCCTCCAAGGCCACAAGCCCATGTTTGCTCTGTCCAGGTCACCCGACATCTGCACAAGGCAGTGGGCTGTCCCTGCTGGAGCTGTCCCTGCACTTATAACAAAGGCCATGTGCTAGACTTTCTATGCAAGAAGCCCTGACCCCCAAAGTGACCATATACAGAGTCAGGGTCTTCACAGAGGCAACGAGGGGAAAGCAAGGTCACTAGGGTGGCCTTGATCCAATCTGACTGTGTCCTTATAAGACAAGGAGATTGGGACACAGAGAGGGACACAGGGAGAAGACACCACCTGCAGGCCCAGGAGAGAGGCCTCAGGAGGAGCCAGCCCTGACACCGTAAGCTCAGACTTCTGGCTTCCAGGACTGTGAGAGAATACTGTTTAGGCTCCTAGGCTGTGGTACTCTGTCACTGTGCAGCCGAACACTGCTTCTGTTATGTGACACAGGGAAACTGACGACACTTCAGGTCAGGTGACTTTTGTCAACCTGATCCTTCAGGAGTAGAGAATTCTGTGCGTCACAAAGACTCCATGGGAACTGGCCTCCTATGGGAGCTTGGGAGCGCCCTTAGATCACACCGACCATGCTCCCGTCTCTATTGAGGGTCAGGATGGATGTAGATCAGTGTGCAGGGAGCCAGGCTTTGGAGATGGAAGCCCTGGAAGGAGCCCCTTGCAGAGTGGCAGATGTCTGGGATCCTGGTGTGAGGAAAGGAGAGCTAGGTCCCAGGCTGCTGGCCAACTGCAGCTCAAGTCACCTAGCCAGGGGCCTCACAGTCCACAGCCACCAACCCTCCCACCATCCCGGATTCTGGAAGGGCTACAGCCTTGAACCCCCTTGCTCCTGTGCCAGCAGCCCAGACACTGTTCATGGCAACCCTGAAGGGGTGAAATGTTTGCTGTGAAATCAGAGTCAGAGAGGAAGACAGTTGCCAGACGAAACCATCTGCTGTCACTTATGTGGCGAATGTGGTGACTTCAGAGCAAGAGCGATCCATCTGTTCCCATGTGTGAGCCCCAAACCTGTTCAAGTGAGTGAGTGAGTGAGCAGGTGGCTCCTGGATACTGTGGTGGGTGCTGGTCTGAGTGGGCGCTGACCTTCCAGGTTGTGGGGGGCTGCGGCCATCCTCCGTCCAGTTTGGAGTGCATAGGCTACTGGCAGAACTGCTGGGTGGATGGTAGAGCTGGAAGGAAGAAAGGGAACCTGCACAGGCCCTGCTGTTCCCTGGGCCAGGCTGCCTCACTGGTGGCCAGATGCAGCTTCACAGGGCTGGGTGGCTGCTACTCTCAGTGTCTCTTTGGTTGATCACAGTCAAATTCCTGGCATCCCTGATTGCCACAGGCCACAGCTCCTGACTCTGGGCATCAGCAGGCAGCTAGATACTTGGGGAAGCTCCTCGCCAGACTCCTTGCCGAAAGCCACAGGCAGCGGGAGATGCCACAGGGCTGGGTTCAGCTGCAGGAGCTAGCTGCCTCAGCTGCCTGTCAGCCTGGGAGCAGCTGTGACTACACTGCATTTTGGAGGACAAAGAGGTGACCTTCCTATTATAAATGCAGACATCCTTCAAGCTTGTTGGGTAACCTGCACCTCTCCAACCACAGGCAGTGCTATGCTCAGAGGTTCCAAGGTGGGAGGTGGCAGAACAGACCACGGGGGCTGGTTTCTATGTAGATGTTTTCCTCAGTGGCCCTGGCTTTGTGACACTCTCAGGCTCAGGTGACTTTGAACATCATGATTTTCTTAGCAAATGCACGAGAAGCAGTGCTGGCCTGCCTGCCCGAGGCAGGAGTCCACAGGTTCTGAGCCATCTGCGTGGCATTTCTTGCCAGCACTCTGCCCAAACTCGGAGAGCCACTGTCACTTCTCTTCAAAGCTCTGCCTCTTGCTCCCTGCTCGGGAGTTCTGGCGGCACTGACCCAAGGAGACTGCACACTGAAAACACCTCTTGCTGCTTCCACCTCTGCACCCTGAGAGCTGGGGAACAGACCCCACGGTGGCTGGATCTCTGTGGTGCATTTGCTGTTGGGCGCTGGCTGCTCTCCTGGAGTCGGCTGTGGGGCGGGGGAGGCCAGGTCTCTGCTTTTCTGGTCAGTGGCGCCCTGCTGAGGCCCTTCTTGTGCTGGGAGACCACATGTAGGAAGTGGTGTGCTCAGGAGGTACCAGTGCTTCCCACGCTGACAATGTCACATCCTGAATTCTTTTTCTTTTCTGGCAGGGGGGGCTTCATTGTGGAAATTCCATAGGTGTGCACAGTGCACTGTGAACAAGTCCATCCCTCTATTGTTCCCTCAGCCCCTCCCTCCCGCCTTCCTTTTTTCAAGCAGAATTTGGTGGCTTTCATTACACTATCTTCATCTCTTGCTCTATGCAATATACTTTGATCCTCTTCAGCCCACTGCTCTCCCCCTTTCCCCCTTGCTGGCCCCCAAATCCCCCTTTTACATTCACGTCCCATTTTTACTATTATTTTCATTTTAGGTTGAGGTTCCCTATATGAGTGGTTTTCGATTTGGCTTTTTGAGCTTGGCTTATTTCACTTAACATGATGACCTCCAGTTCCATCCATTTTCCTGCAAATGACACCGATTCTTTCTTCTTTATGGCTGAATAATACTCCACTGTGTGTATATACCACATTTTCTTGTGTCTCTAGTATACTGATTTGCACTCCTTCAGATACATGCCCAAGAGTGGTACGGAGGGGTAACAAGGTAAGTATGTTTTTGGTTTTTTGAGGAACCTCCACACTGACGTCTACAGTGGTCGCACCACATTCCCATTTCAGTGTGTAAGGGTCCCCTCCCCCACCTCACCAGCACGCTGACCTGGTGGGATCCCAGCATCCTTCTGATTTCCATTTGCACAGCTGAGGACGCTCAACGCTTCTTCATGTGTTTATTGCCATCTGTGCCACTTCTGAGAACTGTTTGATTCATGTGTCCATTTATCTTCTGGCGTTGCATATATGGACATCACTCTTTTATCTGACGCATCCTGAATTTGAACCATGCAAACCATCTCCTGTGGTTTGCCTCCACCCACTGTGTTAAGAGAGCAGGAGCGCCAGCAAGGCCGACTTCCTGCATTTCCCTGCTGCGGAGAAGCCGGAGAAAGTCTTCAGCTTTCCGGTGGGTTGAAAATGGCTGGCCTGATGTCCATGATAAGGGCCTTTCTCTCTCCTTGTGGAAACTGAGGTGTATTAGGCCCAAACAAACAAACAAAATCTCATCTTTGTGTTTCTCAGCAAAAGGAAAATTTTGAAGAAATATTCTGCTGCCAAAAGGGACTCTCATTTCCCTGAACCCCATGTTTCTCCTTATCTCTGGGACACAGCCGCCTGGGCCAGGCCTCCTTTGGCCAGTCTTCTCAGCTGGATGCCCCCATGGAAGCCTCTTTCTGGGGGAAAAGCCACTACCCTGGCATGTGGCTCCTCTGTGACTCAGTGCCTGGCCATGGGCTGACGGCCCTGGGGCGCTCAGTTCTGTCTCCTGGACCCTCGAGTCTGTGAAGTGTCACCTTGAACTGAAACCTGGAGAATTGAGGGATTTTCCCCTCCAAAACGCACAGACAAGAGAAAGCCTGGAGAAGGAGGAGCTTCTGTGGTGGCCCCCATTAGGGGATAGTCCTGAGCCACCGTCTCCAGTGACCTGGTGCCTGCCATGCTGCTCACCTACCTCATTGGGCTCCCAAAGCCAGACATCAAAGGTGGGCTTCCGCAGGGCTTCCATGGTCTCCGGAGAGAGCAGGTACTAGAAAGGACAGGAGTTCTGTGTTAACCACACACCTTGGGCTTTTCCGTGGTGACAATGGCTGTGACCTGAGATGCACGTGGCATTTTCCCCCCTTTCTCCCATTCCCCTTTACAGACACTGAGCAAACACAAGGCTGCCTTCTTCTGGAAAGGGGAAACAGTAGTGGAATCCCATGTGTGGCCGGGGGCAGGGCTGGAGGAGCATGTGGGGATGTTTGGAGGGGAGTAACAGAAATGTCCCTTATCTTGTTCAAGGTGGAAATTTTATGACTGATATGTATTTTAAAATTCCCAACATTCTGTAATCTTAGAGGATGAGTTATAGGATTGTAAATCAGATCTCAATATGCCCCACAATAAAAAACACAATAAAGTGAAGCCAAGGGAAAAAATTCACACAGTATAAATTCAAATACCGGCAAAAAAGCTATTTTGGGTTTCTCTTGCTGGGAAGCAGCGCTGGTTTCAGCTGTGACTAAGCCAGACACTGCTGATGGGACTGACTCCACCAACAAGGTTTAGTGAGTTGTCAGAAACAGGGCAGCGATTTTAGACACGAGGCAGCAGAGTTTTGGCGTCTGCCGTGGTCCTCTCCCAGGTATCTTTGCCTGTTTTCTTAAGGCTCTGGTCTGCAGGGCTGGCCCCGCGTGTTTCAGGTCTAGGCTGAGCCTGGGATTCTCCACGGCAGGGCATTTTCCCAGGGGAGAAGGCACTGGTATCCATGCTCAGCGCGCTGCCCAGAACCCATTGGGGAAGTCACTGACTGATGGCACTGGGTTCCGCAGGGGCCCCGGAGCTCTTTCCTGCCACTTGAACCACCCACGAGCAGACGGAGGAACTAAATGGCAGGCCTCCTCTGCCCCAGAGGCCAGTGCCACCTGAATCTCAGCACCAGGGCATGGGCCGGTGTTTTACTTGCTTGCCAGCAGAGGTCACTGCTGCGATGGTGACCTTTGTAGTTTGAAGCAGTTAATTCCAGGGCATTGCTACCATGGCCAGGCTTTTCTCAGAACAGAGGAACATTTGTTCAAAGAAGCAAAGCTTGCTGGGCACAGTGGCTCATGTCTATAATCCTAACTACCAGGGAGGCAGAGATTAGAAGGATTGCAGTTTGGAGACCCCATGCCATGTGAATTAATAAAAAGGCTGGGTGTGGTGGCAGGTGCTGGTCACCCCAGCTATGCCAGAAGTGTACATAGGAGAATAAGAGTGAGACCCTATTTGAACGATAAGTAAAGCACTGAGGGCTGGAGGCATGGCTTGAGTAGTAAAGCACGTGCCTAGCAAGCTCAACGCCCTGTGTTCAAATCCCAGTACTGCACAGGGGGAGAAACGAGCAAAGCTTTCCATAAAAACTATGTGTTCTTTAGGAACAAAGAATCCAACAAGCAGATTTGTTAAAAATTAAAGTTCTTCAGCTATAAGGCCAGGGAGGACATTAGCAGGGCCCCTGCAAAATAAAGAGCGCCCTAAACAAATGTCAGCGAGAGAGGAGTTCTGCCCACGACTGGCCCACCCCTTCCGCAGCAGTGGAGGGACTGTTCACGTCATCGTGCCTGCGACCCCTATCCTAGAGCTGTGGATGTAGAGCTGGAGCTGGTCCTGGGCCTGATCTCATCTTACCTTGGGATACGTGGGGACATCGCGCCAAGGGGTGAGTTTCTTGTTATCCAAAAAGCTGTACTTACAGGGGCAGCTGGTCCTAAAGACAAAAGCAGAGTTTGGATGTAGCTCTGCGCTGGCTTGGTGTACACCATGCATTTGACTGGGGACCATCGGAGCAAAGGCAAACGGGACAGCCGGGCCCACTCCAGAAGCCACAGGCCGTGTCGCCTTATTTGCTATGGGACAGCAAGTGTCTCCATTTGCCCGGCCGTCAGCCTTTGATCAGGCTCTTGGAAAACACAGAAAGGCAGAAGAGGAGGCTTTCTTCACTTTCAGATTAGCTTCTAAAAATCTTTTTAGATGACACAAAGCAAACATTCCTACTGTAAATATTCCAAACAGCACAGGAGTAAAGTGAGACAAAACAAAAACAAACCTGAGTCTTCACTTGACCTGCACCTGACAGCCCAGTAATCAACGCTCATTCGTCCTTGCAGAATATTCCTCAGCATGAGCACACAAGGACAGGTGCTGTGCTTTTAAACAAGGATGAAATTGTACCAAGTTTACTCTGTGGCAACATTTTTTCCATATGACATCGCAGAGCTTAACTTCGTTTTGTTTTAATGTACTTAAAACCTATGTGTGGTCCTCTAAGACAGTCCCACCCAGTGCCCAGTGGTGGGGTTTTGGGATGTTTCCAAGAGTCACGTTGGAAACAGATCTTCTATTTGGCTGTTTTTCTTTCCCACTAAGTATCAAGCCACCCCACCTACGGACAGAATGCCACCTGTGGAACTTAACTTGGTTGCCAGGGAGTACATTCCTCACTGGGACGTAGCTGCGGGGAGCGGGGAGCACACCTGGCTTGTTTGGATTTACTCTGTGTTGCGGGGGAAGGCAGTACACATCAGACAGCCAAGTGCAGAGGACAGCTGATTTGAAACAAAGTTTCATCTCCTGGAGGATCCACTTAATACCACGCAGTAGGAGCCACAGAGACTTCCGATGCATTAAGCCTGTGGGTGTCTACTCTGGGGCATTTATCTTAAAAAAGAATGAGACCCAAGCATGTAGCTCAAGTGGTAGAGCGCCTGCCTACCAAGTGCAAGGCCCTGAGTTCAATCCCCAGTACCGTAAAAAAAGAAAAGAATTAGATCCAAGCAAACAGCTCTGTGCACAGATACAACAACACAAAACCAAATCGGAGCCACCTGAAAGTCCCCAGATGGAAAATAATTTCAAACCCTGTGGTGTCTCACAGTGATGGGTCACTGTGTCATTATGAAGGTAATTCAGAAAGTTATGGGAATTTCAGGAGAAAAGGGGAAAAAAGTTAGCATACTAACTTGCATTGGAAGGCAAGGTAGAAACGTCACAAAGCTGTGACGATCAAAGCACATTTGATGGGTTAAAGAGTGCTGGGCTGTGTGGCCTTGTATAAAAGCCAAGGCCCTCTGTTTTGGTTAAAATTCGATCTATTGTTCATGATGTTGTAAGTGAAAAAAGATTACAAAACAGTAGCTTTAGTCATTTTTCAAAACTAGATATATACACACTGCAAGCACCTGGGAGGCTTTGCATTTTATTTAAATTGGGGGCCGTGCTGGCTGATTTTACTGGTACAATGTGGATGATGAATCTCTATCTGACTGTCTTTCTTCCCCACTCAGTATCAAGCCATCCCACCTAGGAAGAGAACAAAAGGAGCGAGCCCCTCCCCCTGCCCCCATCTGTGGAGTCTGGAAGTTTTGCCGTGAGCCTACGCTATTTTCAAACTCAGAATAATAAGTCCGCTCCTTTTCAGCTTTACTGTTTTGGCTTGCTGCTTCCCTTCCCAATTCCACACTCGGACACATCATCAGGGTTGCTGTGACAGTTTGATGTACAGAGAGGATCCTAACAAACTCAGAAACTCCTAACAAAACCAATCACCTGCACCAAGCAAACGGCTTCCACCCTTACCCTCAACACAAGAGGTCCCATTTGCTCATTCCTGGCAGACAAACTTGGTCTGTCAGCTTAGATAGCACCACTACTATTTCCGTTCTGCCTTAGCCTCATCTGTATAAACATTCGCACACAAATTGCCTTTCTGAGTCTTCTGCATCGCCCAGGAGGCCATGGACACCCTCAAGCAGGATGCGGACTGCTGGAATCCAGCTTTCCTGGCAAACCTAGGCTGTGGGAGCAGACAGGGGCTGCTGGGCGCCTGCTGATCCTGCTCGGCCAGTGCCTGTGCCCCTGTCCCTCTGCCCCGTTGCCACGGGAACGAGCAGCCTCTAGCTAGCAGAGCAGCTGGCCTGGTGCCTTTTCTTTTCATTCCACTTGGAACTCATTTTCGACTTCACTTCCTGGGCTCCCATCCTCCCCTCCCCAGGGCTCAGTCCATGGTCAGGGCCATTTGTTTGGGATGAAAATGGAGACTACAGGTCTCCAGTGCACTCAGTCACCACCCCATGCTCACACAGCCCTCTCCAGACTGGAGGAGCCAGCATATATGATACCCCACTCTGCCTGCATGGTGTTGGTGGCCAGAGTGGGCACAGCCCCTAGTAGGACCTGCCTCCTCTGCCCCACGTGTGAGCCCACCCTTAAGCCTCTGTCCTCTTGGACAGAAACTTAAGAAAGTCTCAGGAGAGGGTGATCTGTCCAGGGGTGCTGGTGGGCGGTTCACAAATCCCGCAGGTGGGCTCTGACTCCTGGCTGTGAGGCCCTGCCAGTGGCTTGTATTTCAGAGCCATTAGCCATCCTATGGGTGCAGGGCTGGGCTGTCCCACCGGGTGCCCTGATTCTCCCCTCTACAACCTCAGAGAGGCAAGAACGTGACTCCTCCCCCTTCTTAACAAGAGTGGACTTCTCTCCCCATGGGGCAGGGGAAGCTGCAGTTTAACAAGCCCCTCCCAGGAACCTGGACCCTCCCATTGACTAAGAGGGGGTAACACAAAGGGCTTGTTCTCTATGCACAAGGAAAAGGAAAGAGCTGTTGTGTGGGGTGTAAAAGGGGATGTGGGTTCCTGGCTAAGGTCTAGCGTGGGTCAGACCCTAGCCCAGTGGGGACCCAGGTGGCAGCTCAGCTGTGTGGCCTCCCCCATGAGACTTTGGGCTCTTCCCCTGAGGACACAGGAGGGACTTTCTCTTTCGTTCCTTAAAAAGCCTCCACCATGGGGATGGATGACAGATATGAATTACTCACTCACAATCTCCTTTGGTCACAAATTCCTTTTCCTTGACTTCTCCAAGTCAAATGGGATAAAATATTCCTACTCCAAATTAGTCAGTGACATGACTATAGCAGTTTCCATAGGCCACCTGCCAACACAGCTCAGAGAAGGCAAGCCTCCTGCCTCTCTCTGAGGCAGCGAGGCTGCTGGTGCAATGGGGCCAGTTGGGGACTGCCAGCTTTCCCTGTACCTCCTGCTAGAGGCCCTTCCATGCCACATTCCCCACAGGCCAGTGCCCTCAGTCTGTAAGGCAGGGGACATCTTCCATGTGCTGGGTTCCTAAGACAATTCAGTGCCTGCTCTTAGGTTCCTTGTCCCTGCTGAGGCCTGGCAGTAACTTGAGCAGTTACTCAGTGGCTGGCATTCTGGGAGTGATGAATGACATGACTGTGAGGTCCCCTTGGCAGGTGACTGTGGCATGAAGAAAAAGCCAGGACATGGGAGTGCTCATTGCACAGCTTGCTCACTGTCTCCGCCCTCAGTTTGCACGTACTTCACCCACATTTGTGGTGAGGCCAGTCTGGGGTGCCTTGGGTCTGAGCTCGCCTGTGCATGGCTTCTGGCAGTGGTCCTGCTGACTGACTTTCCAGGATGTATACTGAACCTCAGGTGGGCCTTGCATGAATTATGAGTCACTGGCTCTCCAGAAGCACCCGTGAAGGACCCTTGCTCCAAAGAGCACGTGATCTCTGTGTCCACTGACAGCTGGCTATGCTGGGGGGGACACTCCATGGGGACAGGGACCCCGGAGGCATCTGGATGCTCATTTCCTGTCAACCAAATGCCTTTATCCTTCTCTTACTGTTACCTTACTTTAAATGGATGTCAGTTTCTTTTTGAGCTGCATAAATTACTATGGACACGTGGCTCTGTGGGAGGATCATTTCCCTATGATGTGCAGTCGTCGTCCTAGTCTCCCTCTGCCATCAACACCCTTTTATGATTAAGAAAGCCATGTATTAAAAAGCTGATTCCAACAAAGCTGGGCTTCCTCCAGCTCACGTCACCCAGGTTGGAACCAGAGCGAGCGACACCCGGCACAGACCTTACCTGTTGTTTCTGGCTGCCAGTTCCTCCCTCATCTTCTTAATGTCACTCTTGCATTTCTCGATCTCCACTACTTTAAGTCCTTCCACTATGACAAAGAGACACAGAGAAGTTACACGGAGAAGTGCACAGGGCCTCAAGGCTGGCACCTAGGAGGATGCTGGCTCCTGGCAGAGGTCCCCACTCCCCCAGAAAAGCTATTATTTGCATTTCTTCCCCAGCTTAGGCACAGGGGACTCCAACCCCGCAGGCCAGGCATGTTCCAGCCAATTGCTGTCAGACAGAAGCCCCTCCTGCTCCCCCACCCTGAACTCTTACACCCACGTGTTGGGATGCTTTCTTCCTCTGCACCCCTCAGAACCAGCTGAGGGGATGAGTCAAAGAAGTCTTTTATCCCCCAAAGAAAGGAAAGGGGGGGGCACTGCGGGTCTTGTGCATTAAATGCAGGGAAAGGCACATACTTCCTCAACAAGGATTAAAACCGCATTAAGACAAAAGCTTTTCTTTTTTAGGTCTCCCCAGAGCAGTTAACTAGGAGAAAATAGTGACAGTTGAGAAACAAACAGGCAAAGGTAAGGATTAGCAGAGCTGGGCTCTAGCACATTCCTGGGATCCCACTGCCAGGGTATTTCATCAAAAAATGACCTGGAGTCGGGCGCCAGTGGCTCACGCCTGTAATCCTAGCTACTCAGAAGGCAGAGATCAGGAGGATCTCAGTTTGAAGCCAGCCTGGGCAAACAGTTTCAGACCCTATCTCAAAAATACCCAGCATAACTTAAAAAGCTAGACATGGATCTACCATTTGATCCAGCAATACCACTCTTGGGGATATACTCAAAAGACTGGGACACAGGTGACTCCAGAGGCACCTGCACACCCATGTTTATTGCGGCACTATTCACAATAGCCAAGTTATGGAAACAGCCAAGATGCCCCAGCACTGACGAATGGATTAAGAAAATGTGGTATCTATACACAGTGGAATTTTATGCAGCCATGAAGAAGAACGAAATGTTATCATTCGCTGGTAAATGGATGGAATTGGAGAACATCATTCTGAGTGAGGTTAGCCTGGCCCAAAAGACCAAAAATCGTATGTTCTCCCTCATATGTGGACATTAGATCAAGGGCAAACACAACAAGGGGATTGGACTATGAGCACATGATAAAAGCGAGAGCACACAAGGGAGGGGTGAGGATAGGTAAGACACCTAAAAAACTAGCTAGCATTTGTTGCCCTTAACGCAGAGAAACTAAAGCAGATACCTTAAAGCAACTGAGGCCAATAGGAAAAGGGGACCAGGAACTAGAGAAAAGGTGAGATCAAAAAGAATTAACCTAGAAGGTAACACCCACGCACAGGAAATCAATGTGAGTCAACTCCCTGTATAGCTATCCTTATCTCAACCAGCAAAAACCCTTGTTCCTTCCTATTATTGCTTATACTCTCTCTACAACAAAATTAGAAATAAGGGCAAAATAGTTTCTGCTGGGTATTGAGGGCGGGGGAGAGGGAGAGAGCGGAGTGGGTTGTAAGGGAGGGGGTGGGGGCAGGGGGGAGAAATGAACCAAGCCTTGTATGCACATATGAATAATAAAAGAAAAATGAAAAAAAAAATACCCAGCATAAAAAAGTGGCTCAAGGTGTAGGCCCTGAGTTCAAACCCCAGTATCACAAAACAAAACAAAGCAAAACAAACAAAACCCGAACTGGAGTGCTGGCTCCAAGTGAGTGAGCTCTATGTTCTAAGATGGTCCCTCTGCAGGAAGGCTGTGCCTAGCCCTGAAGCCTGGAAAAGGTTTTCAGATCAGTCAGCTCTTGAGAGAAAAAATTAGCTTTGTTACTTTATAATCACATCTTGGTTTTTGTGCAAAAGGAAGCTACCCACGATGTCATCCTACCCCCCCACCCGCTTTTCCATCAAGCTGCTAAAAATAAATTGAACAGATTTCCTAGGGAAAAACAGTGCCTCAGGGACTTCCGGGTTCCTGACCATCCCTTGCATCCGGAGCCAAGTAAGAGGAGCTGCAGCCCAGCATGTGCAGAGCCTGGTGGACTCAGTCCCCAGTGGGCTTTCTAGACCTCTTCAGGGCAGAGGCCAAGTGGGGACATGGCTTCTTTTTAGCCCAAAGGATTATATACAGCTCTGTCCTGTCCTTGCTTGTGGACCAGGGAAACTTCTGCTCTCCTCTACCCAAAGAGGCGCGAGCGGTAAGGGGGAGGACAGAACATGTAGATTGAAACTTAGGCCTGAAGTGAGTGTGGCTGGAGCCAGGGTGGTGGGTGTCCTGGGGCCCAGTCCAGGTGAGCAGCCACTGGGACACACAGAAGTTGGGCACTTTTTGTTCTCCTCTCAGTCAGTGCCTTCTTTGGAGTGGGGTTCTTTCTTACATCGTGGGCCCCCAAGAAGCTGCTGAAGGCCACGGTTGTCTTCCAAGGAAAGGCACTAAGGTACCCTTTGGGCTTCCTGTGGACTGGACTGTGGCCTTCAGGGCCTTGTCTAGAGTATAGGATGCATTCCTCAGGGCTGCGGGTTTGCCACCAGGACCCGGATGGAGCAGGCAGTAGATTAGCATCAGCAGCAAAACAGCTCCATCTTGTTGACACGTGAAAGGCAGAGAATTCCAAGAAATGAAAAGATGTGTGCAGGTCTCAACAGGGTGGCTGTGCCCGCCATCCAGGGCCCATGGCTACTTGCTGTGTATGTGTACATTTTGTTTATTTGAGACAAGTTCTCGCTATATTGCCCAGGCTGGCCTTGAACTTGCAATCCTCCTTGTTCAGTTTCCCAAGTAGCTGGGATCACAGTTGTGCCCTACCACACCTATTAAGTATGTCTTAAACACCAGACTGCCTGAGGATGGCAGGCACCTCAGGGCCCGTCCCCACTTCTCCTTCATCCTGTCCCAGAGGGAGAAGTTAGTTTAGTCCCAGGAGCTGGACCAGGGCAGGGCCTCATCCTGAAAGGCCTGCACAGATAGTGGCAGAAAGACACTGGGGGCCCCTTCGCTCACCCTCTAACTTCACACAGGGTTATGACCCTGACCACTGGGACCTCTTGCTCATGCTGCCTGCAGGGTTAGCAAGTCTGGAAACCCAGGCTGTGCTCTTGAACCTGAGACGGGATCTTTGTGGGTTTCTGCAGTTATTGGCACTGAAGGAAAAGATCTAGGAGCAATTGTCTAAGAGACACAGGAAGGGGACTCGGAAGGCTGCAGGGCTGAGTAGATTGGCTGTGGTGATTCTGCCCTACGGCTCTTCTTCCTCCACCTCGCTGTGCTTGTGACAAGAGCGAGGAGCCAGGCAAGCCCACTCCTCTGGCTGTAGAGTTAATGAGGTTGCCTGAAGACCCACGTGAACAGAGCTGTGTTCCAATGCTTCCTTCAAAGACTGAGCTGAAAGATTTGCCTAAGTGCACTTCTGGTGATTCTGCCCTACGGCTCTTCTTCCTCCACCTCGCTGTGCTTGTGACAAGAGCGAGGAGCCAGGCAAGCCCACTCCTCTGGCTGTAGAGTTAATGAGGTTGCCTGAAGACCCACGTGAACAGAGCTGTGTTCCAATGCTTCCTTCAAAGACTGAGCTGAAAGATTTGCCTAAGTGCACTTCCAAAAGACAATGAAAAGCAACACTGGGTTTCAGTGGAGCCTCCTGGATTGTTTGCATGGCCTGTGGCCACCTTTGCCCCAGAGGCTCAGCTCTGTGTTTAGGTTTAGGCCCAGGGCACTGGTACAACTGGACAAAGCAAGGCTGCCCGGTGTCCCAGCCGCAGCACAACAGGAAGGAAGTGAGTAACTCTCTAGCCAGGATGTGAGGCCTGGCTGTTCTGTGTTTGTGAAATCAACTTTCTCCCAAGAGAAATCTCAGGCTCCTTGAAGAAGGGTAAACATTTTGTACAGAAAGGGAGAAAAGCACTGAAAGTCATTTAAGAGAAATGGAGAAATTTCTATTCGATTCAGAAGAATTAAAGGTTTAAGAAGGTCAAAGAGAAAGCAGGAAAATCTGTCAGGACAAGTCCAGTGCAGTGGGATGTGGTTTAGAGGGTCAGTGCGAGCTGGATGCTCCTTTCCTTTAGAAAATAGCTAATGTCAGCCCCTACAGGCCAGGTGAAGCCGCGTGCACACCTGCCTGTGACGTGTGTACAGGTCTTTCTGTGTGCACATGTGTGTGTGAGTGTCAATAATATGCTCCTGGCAGGCTTCCCCATTCCACAGCTGTGGCAGCTGTTCAGGGTCAGGATGTCTGGGTGGAGGGAAATCCGGCTCAGGCCCCTCTCCAGAACTTTCCCTTTCCATTTCCTCCTCGGCTACCTGACATGGCCCCACTCATGTCTTCAGGTTAAGGCACTGTGTCTTTGGAACTCATGCTCCCTGAGGCTCAGCGTGAGCGAACATTCCCAGCCCCATCCCCAGTGAAGGAGGTCAAAAATGCCAGGGAGGTGAGTCCAAAGTTACTGGTTCAAAGGCAGGCAGGAGTGGGGAGAGCCTGAGTGAACAGGGCACTCCTGGGGGTGCACCTGCCGGGTGAGGTGAGAGGAGGGGTCAGGAGGATGTGCAGATGTTTGGCAGAGTGATGGCAGGATCTGCAGTGGCTCCACGTGGGGCCTGGGAGAGGACAGTAGGCAGGGAGGAAGGCAGTGGCACTGGAGGAACCAGAGGCACCTGTTGCCTGAGGCATCCATATGTCAAACAGTAGTTGTGACTTAGCAGCAACCCTTGTCTTTGCCCTTTGGCTGAAACCCCTTCCCAAGTTTGGAGAATTCCCTATTCCACAGGGCTGGGTAGCAGGCTGAGCTGGACTCCCACCACCAAGACGGCAATGCCTGACACGGTAGCGGACTCAATCGTGTTCACGTCTTAACTCCCGGAACCTGTGTCTGTGGCCTGTGTAGAGAAAGGTCCTTTGCAGAGATAAGCCATTACAGAGTGTAAGGAGAGAGCATCCTGATTCAAAAATGTGAGTGATAGGGAGGCAGGCCGTGATGCAGTGGCCTAGCCTGGAAGCCAGGCGCTGGAGAGAAGGGCCTAGAGCAGACTCTTTGGGGTCAGCCCTGCCGACACCTTGGTTTTGAACTTCCTACCTCCGGCACTGTGGAGGAGGCATTTCTGTTGTGTACGCTCCCCCAGTTTGTGGTGCTTTGTTGAGGTGGCCCCAGGAAATGAAACACTCTCTCTCTCTTGGCTTCCCTTCCCGGGTGTACACACCTGGTCTAGCTTGATCCAGACTTTGTATCTGCAGCTAGTGACATGAAGCCGCCTGATGTCAGTGGTAGTGGCCACGGGGACCATGGTGAATCCAGGGTTCAGAGTTCCAGGTGCCAGAGGAGTGATGGGCTGGCAGCTTGGGCACCCTCACAGCATTGGCTCTGTGCAGGTGTGGGCACAGTTCCTACTGCACAGCTGCTGAGCTCTGTTCTGCAGCCTGATGGGCAAGCAGGGAGCTACCCAGAATCCTTTAGGAACTCAAAGCAGCCACAAGGAATTTCTTCCCTAACCTGTGCGGTGAAGGGAGTCCTCGCAGAACTGCTGCTCTTTAGCCAGGTGTGCAGAGTGGGGACTCTTCCGAAGGGGAGGTGGCAGGCAGGTTGTGACAACAGCCTGGCCAGGACGCCAGGCACTGCTCCTAGTTTTCTTTCTTTGTCTAACTGCCGAATGAACTTGAGCAGGTCACTTTATGTCTCTGTAGCTTATTCATTATCCACAGGTAAAACAAAACTGTCTTCAAGATCCAACCAAGTGAGTTTTGAACAAGTCAACGCTCTTTCAAAATGACACATGTGGAGCGTGACTATGGAAGCCATGCTGCAACTTATTTACACAAACAGGGGCTTGCATGATGCTGAAGTTTTCTTGAAGAATTACAAGCAATTCAAATCAAAGATGAAAAGTGACCATCTGTCACTCTTAAGAATACAGATCAGCCAGATATTTTGGGACATACCTGATCCTTAATGGCCTGCTGTTTGAATTTTGTTTACTCAGCCTGAGTTAATAAATAAGGTGCCATCAATGATTAGCTTCCACCTTGACAGTGGCCGAGTCCTCACAAAGAGTGGATGCACAATCAGTGGGCATGCAGAATCTGGGCATTCGGCCTCTTAAGGCACAAGGCATGTTTTCCTCCCCGAGCCTGGACTTTCTGCTAACTGAATTGACTCGTCTTTGCTCACTAGTAGTTTTTCTACTTTCCTTTTGTGGGGATTGGAAACCACTTCTTAGACATAGTCCAAAAACTCTCGAACCCACAGTATGCAGGTAGTGTGTGGGTAATGTTCCCTATCGATGCAGAAAGAGGCACAGACAAGACACCAGCAGAGTCAAGTGTGGGGCGCTTCAGGTTTTCCCTCCGTGCTCTGTGCACAGAGAGTGCCTCGAACCTGCGCTGCTTCACTTAGAAATACAAACGAAACGCCTGGTGGTCACCATGGTCCAGCCTTTGCTAACATCAAAGGGTTTTCCAAGCACTGCACAGAGGAAAGGCACTTGCGTTTGCCCTGGGCTCTAACCTGGCAGCTGCTCGAAGGGCTTAATCCTGAGGAAGGTTTAAAAGATAGAGAAGCAGAAAGGAAAACCTCACTTACACTCTACCCGCTTCTCCAGTGCCGCCAGGTGATTTGTAACTTCAGCTTTCAGTTCATTGATTTTAAACGCTCTAGGAATAAGAAGAAAAAAAAGAAGACAAAACATAATCCATGAATAATCAAAGCTAAACTTGGCCAACATTTATGGCTTTCCACTATGGGTGAGGCCTCCAGGTAGGCTGGGTAGGGGCTGGGACCAAGACACTAGGAGTTGCTTTTAAGGAACTCAGTGTCCCCGGGCTTGGTGAATTTACTTCCTCTGACCCGGGCAGAGAGCATAGACTCTGGGAGGACACGAGGTTCTTGCTCACCAAGCTGGGGTGGCTCCACCCTGCACCCTGCCCTGCTGGGCACAGACACCTCTGAGCACTGGTGTGCTCTCTGGGGGCTCCAACCATTCGGTTCAATCATTCACAGGATTTAGACAATGCCATCCATCGACCCTTGCCTCAGTTTAACCAACTGCAGTAGTAAAATGCTGCAAAGAAATCAGTTTGAGAAACTGACAATACTGACTTGCAATTGGCAGGGTGACTCAGAATGAAAATGAAGCCCTCCATCAACATAGATCTCAGGGAGGGGGCTCATGTTTGAAATGGTGCCAGTTTTGCAGACACCCTGTGAATCCCAGAAGAGCCAGGTGCAGGTGAGAAAACTGCCACCAGGGCTCACGTTCTGAAAATCACTACTGGACAGGTCTTTGGGACAGGGAAGCATTTGTTGGAGTGTGCCACACTGGCTTAGTTACAGAGGGATTCATGCCAGCCAAAGCCAGCCCAGAGCCAGGTGCCTGCCTGGTCATGAAGGTCCACAGCCCTGTTGGGACAGCGTGTGCGCAGGGGACTCGGTACCTGGAGAACTGCTCTGCCACCTGGGCCAGCACACCCTGGATTAGTTCTTCTCTCTCTACAAACCAAAGAAGAAAGATACATGGAACACAGGCCAGGGAGAAGACGGGCAAATCAGCACAGGTGCAACCCCAATGCCACGGCTTGGGAGCTGCCAGGGTTACCTGAAAGGTCATTTGGCCTCCGGTGAGCCACCCAGCAGGGCCTCTCTGGGGTTTTCCCTTTGCCTTCCTGGCTTGCTCTCAGTGGTTCCTTGGCAGAGCCTCCTAGGCCTGTGTTCTCTGGGCACTGGGCACAGGTATAGAAAGCAGGCAGGCTTGGGGTCTCTAAATATGGGGTGCTATCCCTTGGTGCCCATTTTATGGGGGGCAATAACCGTGACAAAGCAAGTTCAAGGCATGTCCCAAGTGAAAACATGCTGTTCTCATGACAGCCTGCAGAGGAAGCAGGTGGGTGGAGCAGGCTTCTCCCCATGTGGCCTGGCCTGTAAAACTGGGCTGGGTGGCTGGTTTTACGGGGTTCAGGTCCAGGCTGACTGTAACCTGTCTCATTTCTGTTTGCTGAGCAGCCCAATGTGGGAGACTCAGGGGAAGGTGCGGATGCCCCCGGCCGTGCCCCCTGCAGCCACTCTGCTCTTAGGAAAGGTGAGGGCCTAACTGGAGACTCAGTTAGCCCTTCGGTCATGCCCTAAAGCACGGAGCTATGTGGAGTTCCAGGCCACCCTAGCTCCAAAGCAAGACCCTGCCTAAAAATGAGAACAAATTCATGTTTTATTAGAATTTTTAAAAAAGATTTTTAAAAGAGTAATGCAGGGCTTGGGCTTGGACTCAAGTGGTAGAGAACCTGCCTAGTGAGTGGGAGGCCCTGAGTACAAACCCCAGTACCATTAAAAAGAGTGATATGGAGTGAGCCTGTTTTTGAAAACATATGGGGAACATACATTCTAAAATGCCAGTTATCTTCTGTTTGTAAGAGTGCATCTAACTTTTCCTATTTTTGCTTCCCTGTAGCTACTGAATTTTCTATCGTGAACAATATCCATTTTATAAAAGGAAAAGTTTACATAATCAATTTGAGTTAGCCTTGTTTGTTTTTATTTTTTGCAACAGGTTCTTGATATGTATCCCAAGATGGCTTCAAACTCTCAATTCTCCTGCCTCAGCATCCCAGGTGCTGGGATTACAGGCATGAGACACCACACCTGGCTTTAAATTAAACACTTAAGACTCACTGCTTCACCCACCTACAGCGAATTCTGATTTTACGTGACCTTGCCATCTACTGTGAGTCCAAGGTGAACCCTTAACACCAGAACAGGACTTGGTCACCCAATGCGGAATCCAGTTCTCCACTGCCCAGCTCCTCAGTGTGGATCAGTCCGTAAGTCTGCCTGAAACAACTTCCACCTTGCACCTATTTGACTCATCCGCACCCCCACTCCAAGGACTACACCAGCCTGTGCCACAGTTACCACCTCTCAGTCACTGCGTGACCTCCCAGAACTCCTGCTGGTTTTTTAAAATCACCAATTAAAACTCCCCACAAGGAGTCTGTTTGGATAATGCCCTGGACCCGATAAAGGCATCGGCTCATGGGTGCACATGTTCCCTGACCTCCCTGCATGTGGACTCCGGGGATCCTATTTGCCTGGGCCTATGGGTAATAGCAGCTTTAGTTCCATCCGTGTGTCCTGACCATTGAAGCAGCGCTTCCCAAGACCCTAAATTCGATACCGCCAGTATGTGCCAGACAGATCCCAGGCACTCCAGCAGTAGCATCTTGTGACTTAATGAGAAGAAGGAAAATGACTTTGCATTCCAACTCCTCAACTATAGTAGTAAGAATGACACCCAGGACGTATTTCTAGAGCCCAGGCTGAACTACTGGCTGGTCCAAGGACCTAGGCTTCAGAAAGCGCCACAGCTGCCAGGGAAAGGCAGCTCACCAGTTTACCCAGCCTCCTTGAACTCAGAGGGCTTAGATGACTTATGAAATCTTTAGAAAAGGTAATGTGTCATACAAATTTTAAGAGTTAATGACCTCAAGGTCTTGAGAAAAATTTAGAAGTTCATCAAATAATCTACATTTATAGACTACTTCACCTCAAACCTACAGAACACACACTTTTTTTCAGATGTCTAAAAGCAACCAAGGTAGACCATTTTCTGGGCCATAAAGAAAGCCTCAACAAATTTAAAAGAAATGAAACCACACCGAGTATGTTCTCTGACCCCAAGAGAACCAACGTTAGAAATCAAGATAACAAGACAATCTCTGAACACTCCGAAGCCAAACACACTTCTAAATAATCCATGAGTCAAAGAGGAAGTCTCATGGAATGAGAACAAAAATGCAGCAAAACAAAATTTCACTGTGGGGCATAGTGAAAGCAACGCCAAGGAGAAAATCTACTGCACTAATGTCTATGCTTGATGAGAGGAAAAATCCCAACTCGGTAATCAAATTCCACCTTAAGAATCCACAGAGAGAACAGCAAGGTAACTCACGGCAACAGCAGAAGGAAGGAAGGGAATAACAAACATCAGAGTGGAAATCGGTGAGCTAGAAAAGCAATAATAAAGAAAACCAATGAAACAAAGAGCTGGTTCTTTGAATAAGTTGACAAAATTCTAGCAAGACTGACAAAGACACACAGAGAGAAGACAGAAATGGCCAATACCAGGCATGGACGAGGGGACATCACTGTAGACCCTGTAGACACCATAAGGATCTTAAGATGACACTACAAACAACCCGAACTCATAATTTATATCTTAGGTAAATTGGACCAATTTCTAAAAAATCCTCGACTACAACAACTCACCAAGATGAAACAGGTAATAAGCTGTCTACAACTACTAAGGAAATTGGATGTGTAACTGAAAAGTTCCCAAAAAAGAAATCTCTAGGCTCAGACGGTCCCACTGGAGAAGTCTACCACAGTTTTAGTGGGTCAAAACAGTGATAGCCAAATCCCTCCCAGAGCACAGAAGGAGCACCTCCCCGTTCATCCTATGAAGCCAGAGTCTGCCTGACTCTGTCTCATCCACAAAGACAACAACCATGGTCACAACCAAGACAACTGCAAACGAAAACCCTGCGTGAACAAGCCACCAAAATCATTAACATTTTAGAAAACAGAATTCAGCAATATAAAAAATAAGTATACATCAAGATCCACGGGGCTTTATCCCAGGGATGCAAGAATCTCCCACATTAGTGCTATAGAAGAAAACTCGCACAAGCACATCAATTCATTCATACAAAGTGTTTGACAAAGTCAACATGTTCATGATGAAATGCTCAGAAAAATGGAATGGAGAGGGATTGCTTTAAGTTGATTTAAAAAAAAGAGTATCAACAAATCCCCTTGGCTAACGTTATACTTAATGGTGAGAGATGGAGGCCGTTCTTTCTCTCTCTCTCTCACTGAGGTTTGAACTGAGAGAGTTGTACTTGATAGGTAGGCACTCTACCACTTGGCCCACATCTTCAGCCTGAGATAGATAACTTTCTGACTATGAGTGTGACAAGGCAAGATGTCTGACTTCACTACTGTTATTCAACACAGTCCTGGAAATTCTGACCAGTGCAAAAAGGTAAAAAAAGGAAATAAAAGCCACACAGGCGATAACCTGCCCCTGACTGCTGGCATGTGACTGGCTACATAAACATTCCAAGGAATCTTACAGACCCCTCCTAGAAACTAATGAGTTTAGCAAGGTCACAGGATAGAAGATAAATATACAAAATTCAGTTGTGTTTATGTGTTCTAGCAATGGCCACGTGGACACTGAAGTTAAAATACAATGCCATTTATAATCACTCAAAAAACGTTCCATAGACTATGTTTAAACCTAATAAAGCACATGCCCAGTTTGTATGCTGAAAACCACAAGTAGAGAAACAAAGAAGATGTAAATAAACAAATGCTGACACCTGTCATGTCCACGGGTTGGAAGACTCTACAGAGCAAAGACAACAGTTCTCCCCAAACTCGTCTACAGCTTTTAGGAAATTTCCAACAAAATCCTGGCAAGGGCTTTTGCCTTTCTTAGACAAGGATTAGTTTAGGATTTATGAAGACAAAGGAACTGAGACAATTTTGAGAGAGGGTGAAAAGGGGGGAGTCAGTTTATTTGACTTCCAGACTTATTGCACAGCTACCGTAATCAAGGCTGTGTGGCACTGTGGAAGCACAGATATGCAGAGTGACAGAACAAAACAGAGAGCCCAGAACTCCCAATGAGTTCTGACCAAGGAACAAAAGCCGTTCGGGATAGGAAACACAGCCTCTTAAAGCAGTGGTGCTGGGAAACTGGATACCCAAGCAGAAGACGGCTCCACTCAGAATCCAGTTTCTATCAAAATCAATGCAACATGGACCGTGGCTGTAAAATATAAAACTACAAACTATTTAGGAAAACAAAAACCAGGAGAAAAATCTCCAAAATACTGGGTGAGGTAGGGAGTTCTTAGACACGACACCAAAAACACAAACCACAAAAGGGAGCTGGTCAACTGCATCGAGCCAAACTTTGAGAAAGATCCCGTTAAGACGACGAAAGACAAGCTACTGTCTGGGAGGAATATTTGCAAACCACGTATCTGACAAAGGTTTGACTACAGAATATGTCAAGAACGGTCACAACGCAACAGAAGAAAACCAAATAGCCCGCTCTGGAAATGGGCAGGGAGCCGCAAGCATGTTACTGAACAGAGAAGGTGAGATGCAGGGTACTATTAGCTACTAGGACATGCAAACTGACCCCAGAGAGCGCCATCGCTGCGCACTCATCAAAATGGCTAAGATGAAAAACAGTGACATCACACCGTGCTGGAGAGGGTGTGGGGACCTTGGACCACTTACGCTCTGCTGGTGTCAATGCAGAACCATGTGATCCCATGGAAAGATGGCCAGTTTCTAAAAAACTAAATATACCTCCACCCATGACCTAGCAATTGCACTCCCTGAGCAGAAGGACAAAAATTTATGTTCACACAAACACCTGTACAGTGTTTGTAGCAACGTAACTTGGAATAGCCCCAAACTGTAAG